CCTGCGCCAGAACTCTTCAGGCAGTTTTACAGACACTTTTAGGTTTTTCAAAAACCTGGACTTGGTCTATGGCTTCCACTTAAGACATCATGAAGGCCCAGTGTAGGTACATTTTAAACATCAATAGCTACAGGGGTCAGGGGCTAAACAGGATCCAGAGAAGTAGCCGAAGCCGAAGTTTGGAAAACTTTGTTTATAACCTTCTTCGCAATCATTCTCCGAGAAGATTGAGTCACGAATCTGAATCTGATGCAAATGCCAAACTCGATATCAAGTAAAGATGCATGGCCAAAAAATTGTCGATTTACTGAATTTCACCTGCGTTGTAATTTGACATGATTGTATCAAACTGTAGACGTGTGCGCATGCAATAAATATGGAGACGTTTTACAGAGGCAGATTCTGTCGCTCCTCTTAGTACGGTCCCTTTAGAAGGCTACTCACCACGCATCAGTGCAGCCTCGTAGGCGTTCTCTGCCAAGGGATAAGTGGAGATGCTAAACAGAAAGTCTTGCTCACCAAGTTAATGAAGAACAACTCCACCGATACCAGCGCCGTAGCTACGTGTGTGTGTGTGTGTGGGGGGGGGGGGGGGGGGGGGGGGGGGGGGCGCACGCCACCAATGAAAAATTTTCGCCTCGCCCGCGAATTTTTTCCTTCTAAATGACATCCGCATATGGGTGTACGCTATGGCGTTTTGGACTTTACTTTTCTAAAAACATGAGAAGAAAATATGAAATTAGACAAAAATATGAATTCGAACGTAATGAAATTCGGACTTTATCTTCTCTTTTAAAAAAATCCTCCGAAGACTCAGGTTAGAAAAGAAAAAAAAATCGGGTATAAAACGGTGATTCGAACCCGCAACCTCGCGGATCAAAATCACAACCCAGCATCGACAGAGCTATCGCACTGTTCGTCAAGTGCGGGGGAGGGGGGGGGAGAATAATTATATACCTGCGTACGTATCATAAAAGTATCGTAGAGGGCGCTAAGCAACCATGTATGCGGATGTAGTTTGGGAAAAGAAAATTCGCGCCCCGCCCCCAGTCCCCCCCCCCCCTGGAAATTTGGCAAACGAAGAAAAAGTAAACACAAGAAAATGTTAAAAGGAACATTAATATGCGTGGTGAAAAAGTTGAGATCGTGTCTTCATACCCGCAAGAATCTTATCAATAATTTTCTTGAAAAGGATATGGTTTGCATTCCTCATATTAATACTATGGAACATAATTATGTATGTCACTGTCCAATCAGAGCGCCAGTAAGGAGTTCCCATCCCAGGGCCTATACTATTGGAAACGAGGTTGGAATAAAGAAGGCCGGGAAACGAGGTTGCAGTGGATTTCTGTTCGACGACATTGCCAGATAAGTTACAGGTCAAAGCCAGTCATGCGAGGGCGTACTTCTATATGAAAATCGACCGTATGCAGCCCATTATCGATCACTAACCCTTTGTACCAAGACGAACCTCCACCAAAGTCTGTATCCTCGAAATTTAATTTCGGACCTGCATTAAAGCGCACTTAGAGAAAGCACAAAAATACAGCCATTCTGTTATGCTCCACGGTTGATGCTGAAATCTGTGATGAAATATCTCAGCTCTGCGCGTCGCGACAGTAATATAATTTCTTTATCGATCCTCGGGGTATTTTGGGGTTTAACGGAGGAGTTGGAATGCTTGTTGCGTGTCGAATCATTGGTAAGTGAGCTCAGTTGGCAATTTCTTGAGAGTTCGAAAGTGGACGGTTACAGACCGCCTACATTAGCTCCAGAGTTGTAACGAGTCGTTGATTTTTGTGACTCGAATCGAGTCGAGTCATTTTGACTTGAAAAGTGACTCGAGTCGAGTCGAGTCATCAAGAAGGTCGAGTTGAGTCACAGTGAGTCGAGTCGAGTCAAATATTTAGCTCGAGTCATGAATAATTGAACACTATATAACAAATAAAGACAAGAGAGAACTATAAAGACAGTAGAGAAAGTCATCTGATCACTAACAGGTAACAAGAAGTGAATCTTTGGTCTTATATCTGTAATTTCGCCGATCGCTGACAACATCAAAACCAAATTGCATTATACAAAACTGTTTCTGAATATTTAAAAGTGGGCATGTATCTATTTAATTATTAAAAAGAGGGCATCAATTTAGCAGGCGTTCGAATCCAAGAGCATAAAAAATCGCCCAAAGCCAATGATGAAACTTGGTAAATGTGTTTAAAGTCCGGTTTCCGGCTAGCATTTTGTGCGTTCCACAACCACAAGGTGCGAGTCTGTGACACGTTGTTATGTTTGTACACGACGAGCGGCCGCTCTCCGGAACTGTTTTCACAAAATGACGCCGAACATACATTTTGCGCGGTGAGTCTCTGCAATTTTTTTTCGCAAAGTTTTGCTTTTATTTTTGGGACTCAAACCTTATTAGCCGTCGCTCGAGTCGAGTCGAGTCTCCTGATAAGGGACTCGAGTCGAATCATTTGCTGGCAGTGACTCGAGCTGAGTCTTTTACCCTTAGGGACTCACTCCGAGTCGAGTCACAAAAAATAGTGACTCGAGTTGTACTCGTGTCGAGTCATTGACACGAGTCATTTAACATCTCTGACTCCCTCGCCCCTTCTCGACCAACAACATGTAAATCCAATGTGCAATTCCCGTGAACAAAGTAAGTTGTTCTTTTTTTTTTGGTAAATTTATGTGAGTTGGCTGAATCCCATGGATGTTGGACTTGACACCAGCAGAATGAAAAAAAAAAAATTGTTAAAATATTTACAATGAAAGCCAGCATAATTAATGCTAACCATACTTTCGCAATTGAACACATAATTCTTTCATCTGTTATCCAAAACAGAAGAGGCTACAATGCCCATAGATGAAGGGGTGCACGACGCGGCCATCCCCAGGCCCAAATCTGCTCGAGTCCCGTTCCTAAGATTGCCCCCGTTAAAAATTGAAGAAAAAATACTTTGTTCTTTGAAAGGATAGGCAGGATTTAAACTACACTATATCGATCGCCTAGCTCCTCACCAACGGTTGACGAGACTCAAGTGCCCACCCCAGCAAATTGTAGCCCACGGTTGCGGTACTAGTACTCCGAGGTACATTATAGTCCGAGGCCAATGTCGATTGCCCTTGAAAATAATATGGCACAGAATATCTCCCTCTATGTATTTGGAGTGGCAGATAGTTGATCAAATTACTCTTGACCGACATAATGGATCGTGGAATCGTGAAAAAGGCCCTTGATCGTGGAAGGAACATCCGGTGGTGGATTGAATTCAGTTTAGCAGACAGATTAATTTATGGTATGAGCCAAGATGTCTGGAGTATTATACGAATGTAGCATTATTACCTTGACAGGTGTATGGACGGTGTTAGTTGTCACTCCAGCGTAGTAGAGAGATATGAATAAGCTTCAACCCAGGAGACAAAAATGACATATTATGCGGTTCTCGACCCAAGTGAGAACTACAAAATAATTTCTGTCTGTAAAAAAATAACGAACACCCTAAGGCAAAAAAAAAGTCTCCGGTTTCTGGTATGGAGATTGCCCAAAAGTGGTGCTGCGACGCGGCTTTTTTTTTTACCTGATTTTTTTTTGCTTCAAATGTCGGCTGATGACTGCAAATGGTGCCCAACTAAACTTAGTGCAAATATATGGGAGTCCAGAGAAGCCACATGAATGATGAAGCTTATTCTCGATCATATCCCCATCTAAAACACGTTAAAATTGTGCAGCAGCAGGATTCCAGTCAAACCATTGAGTTTGGCGATTTTGAGACATCATCTTTCATTGAAAAAAAACTTTTTCCTTTTGCCGCCGCGCATGGCTACTGTGACGCGTGCGCATACCAGAAACCGGAGACTTATTTTTTTTTGGCCTAATGTATATTTACCCATCACCATGGCCTTGTGGTTTGGTGCCTTGATATCAGATTATGGGTTTGAGTCATAGCTTGCGGAGTTGTCGTGGGTGCATCCTCCTCCGGCAAGACACTCTGTAACTAATTGCTTGTCCTAATCTAGAAGTTAAGTAGGCCGGAACTGATTTTCTGTGAAGGTGGATGGTTGTTGATGATTTTGTGCGGAAATAACAGCATCCAGCTTTTTACTTCATGGGGAGCTGAAGGTTTTATGGACACCGAGAGCAGGGATAATATTGCTTTGATGTTTGTTTGAAGGCCTATACATCAACACCCATTATTATTAATTTTCATAAACGGCGCTGGGCTTTTTGTGTAACTTATAACACTAAATGTTGCGAATCTTTGTTGAGTGCTCCCACTCTACATCTACTTGGAAGTTAATTATTTTTCCGGCTTTGCCTACCAATCTCGGTCAGCGTTCTGTCGGCACAGTAATTGATCACCACTGGATTTCAAACACGAATGGCTGGTTAAGTATTATGAGTATCATCAATGTTGACGTCAGCGTTTGACGGAGCGCGCGTGAATGCTATCTTGTTTCTTGAACAAACAATCATTAGATACAGTGGCGGAAATGAATGAAAAACCAAAAGTTTGTATTGAACATGGCGGCATGAACTTGTTAAAGCTACATTTTAGCGTGCTTTTCCATTACTTCATATTGAGAAATCTGCCTCCAATTTCGACTAATATCAAAATGGATTTCGAGATATCTTGAATTTGATTCAATACAGTCGTAATGCGACACCGTTAAGGCAACACTGAACTGTTCACATAAATGGCAGTACATGTACATGTTTCTTGCAGGAGAAAAAGTTTTTTTTTTCTTAAAAAAAATCGGGATGACGACGCAGAAACTGGCGAATTTCTGACAGCAACCTATGGGGAAACGTTCGTCTAAATGCATGCGCGTGTATCCTCTTGACAATATTGTCGCATATGCAGGGAATAAATGAAGGCGGCTCAGAAAGGCCAAGCAATAAGGGCTCAGATAGGCCACGAAATAAGCGGGATCAGTGGCTAGTCTCAGATCACGACACAGGAAACCAGCCCAAGCTTTGAAACTTTAAAATTTCAAGGGATAAACTTGGGAGATTTCAATAGTTTACACGGAGAGCTTTAAAGCTTAAGATTCATGCGATCAAAAATGAAAATACGATAGTCATGCGCACCCAACAACGAGTCCAGCAATGAGAAATGTGTACATTTTGTTTTACCAACGAGCTATATATTTCTGTAAATCTCCTTTAGATTGGCTAGGGTACGTAACGAACAAACAAGACAGAGTTAAAGAGGATCGGGAATTTAACAATACAAGATATGATATTTTAAGAGTATTCTGACCAAATCAATGAACAGGTTGTGACCTTGTGATGGTGCGATTATTCACTAATTTGCTTGATAAGACTCATAACTTGGACATTAAGCCGTATGTCTATAGGTTAAAAAACAAACCATTACAAACATGTCCGAGTTCCATGATTTACTTAATGACTATGTAAGACAGGCCACTTACAGATTTCTATGAGCCCCCATCTTACCTCTTTATGCAAAGGCCAATGCCAGTATTTGTTTACATTCAATATAAGCATTCCTGAATTTTCAGTAAATTTCGAATAATTAGGCTTCCTAAAATAGTCTTTCTTCTCAATTTATGGCTTTAGCCACCATTTTGCTCTTAGTTTTCTGAAGCGACAAGAAATCACATTTTGCACTCGGATGTTATGGATATTTGCGCTAAAAAGCAGCATGCTTAGTTATCAAGCGCTATAAGCTCAAAAAAGAATTAACCAGCGATATTGATCGATCTCCTTTTTACATGTCTTTTTGAAGTGCAGCCATTTTGAGAATTTTTTTTTAACCTACCGATCAAACCAATTTTAATAGGTAGTACATAATTATGTGGCGTGTGTTCAAGCAATACAAACACATCGACCCCTGACTCCGCCTCAGCGCATAAGGTTTATATCGTTTTTCTTGGCGGAAAGGACCAACGTGTCTGCTGCCACCAACAGGCTGTTTTTAATACTGCAATGGATGCCTTGAGACAGTAAAAAGTTAATTTGAAATTAAATGAAGAGTATTCATATAGGAAAAATGCTTCACAACTTCAGAACAAAAACTTTTTAGGAAAGTTAGGCAGGCATTGCTGATGTAAAGCACCGTGCGTTGTAAGTGCATTAAACACTGCAAAAACAGCGTTGTTAATTATAACACCATTGGTATCTATACAAATTGTATAGGACTAGCTAGTGTTAAAGATTTCTGGTGTTGTCCAATATAGATACCAAATGGTGTTAAATGAAAACCATAGTTATTGCAGTGAATAAGCCGTATATAATATTCACGAAGGCAACACTTTTCAGCACAACACTGTGTGATATAACTGGTGTATACGAGGAATGAAATTGAAGTGTAGTACAGCATTTTTGAGCGGCAAGTGCTTTTAGTTGCACTGGCTCATGATAGTCTTATTAACCGTAGGCCCTATACATAGGCCTACATGTGCAGTGATTTCATGAATGACAAATTCACCGCAATTCTTCAAGTGTCTCATTCAAGATCTATTAAATGCAGTGCAGAATGTCTTCTCAAGCCAATGTATCCCCTCCCGATACCGACATCTCAGTTGGTTGCGCGCCGACCCTTGTCTGCTGCAGCTTACGGCAGCAAAACATTCTCTTGAGCCCCACCTGAAACTGTCTGTACTGCATGGCGTAAATGAAGGGGTTCCCGCACATGTTGGCATAGGCGAATATTTTGGTGACTTCGTACCAAGTGCTGGTGAAGTCCAGCGGTCCGCCCAGGTTGTAGATAACGTAGTTAAATGCAATGGGTGCCCATGATATGGCATAGGTGGCGGATACTATCATCATGGTTTTAATAACGTTTTTCATGGCCTGCGATTTCACAGTGGAGCGGGCGGTCTTTCTGCTACCGACCAGGAGATTACCGTTGGTACCGGTACCAGAGGCTTGCTCGTTGGCGTTGACAACGCGCGACAGGGTCCGGGCAGGGGATTGGGACTGCACCTTGGCAGCCTGTTGGTGGAGTTTACGGATAATCTGCGAGTAGCAGAAGGCCATGCATGTCAGTGGGATCAGGTAGGTCACGCAGAAGATCAGCACACCGCCGACACCTTGCCAGACTTTTGATTTGTAAATGGGTACGCAGAGGTTTCCCGGTAGGACATGCTGGACGTAAGCCCAGAAGGCGTCGATGAGAAAACCCAGGCCCCAGACGGCAGCAGCCACGGGCACAATGCGTCTCTTGACGGCGGCCACTTTTTTTCTATACCACGCTGGCTTGAGCGTGGCCACGTACCGTTCCAGCGTGATGCATATGAGGTTGATGCTGGAGGAGATGAAGAGAGCCCACATGACGTACTCAGAAACCCAGATCTTGCATAGAATCAGGTGACCTGTGTTGCCCGGCTCCAGCTCAAATTTAGGACCCAGGTGGATGAGGAGAAATACCAACGAGCTGGTGAAGTCGATCATGGACTGGTTAATGATGAACAGGTTGATCAGGTTCCGGGAAGACTTGCCCCGGAAGAAGACCAACAGGACCAGACCGTTACCGGTGACTCCAAGGAAACCGATGATACCGTCTAGGACGACCCACAGAACCAGTCTCTGGACGGGGGTCATCGTTGGTCCTTCCTCGGTGCCGTTCATGCTGGCGTTGTACGAGAGATTCTGGAGCGAGTAGCCGACTGCTGTCTCCGTCTCCATTATCAGAATCGATGATCACAAACGTTGAGTAGAAATCACAGTGTTAAGTTACCAACCGCAACTTGCTTAGCGGAGTCTGTGAAGAGTCCACGTGGTTTTCAAGCAAGACGAGCGACTGTACGACTGTCTGACTGGACGTCTGATAAGCGGTATTTATACAGACTACAACGGCCGCGTACCCACAGTTCCCTCAGTGTGGAATTACTACTGGTAACCGAGAGAGTATTGTTGCATTGATTGCAGACTCGCAGGATCATTGGATGAGATGTCCATTCCCTATTCGCCTCTGACCGAGGTAAGGATATAACAAAGCAAGTCGCAAATGGCGTGCCAACAGGCATCAGCAGGAATTCACGTCACGAGAGCGCGGCGGTGCCGGTCACGCAAAATGGAGTCCCCTTGGACTTTTCTTGTTTTCTCCCTCCTTGTAATAATTGGTCCTTTGTCCTTTGACGTCCGGTTATTGAAACGTTACGAGGCGGATGCGGAATATAATCACACTCCTGGGATGGTGGAAATTACTGCAATTTCAAGGATCATGCACAAACGCTTTTTTTCACGCGACTGGTAACATTAGGCTTTATCAAGGACTGACGACCGTTTCGACCTCACCAAAACTACTATTATTTTTTTTTAGTTTGTGTCTCTCGGGATAATATCCTGACAAATAAATTGGTATGTAGTGTAAACGTGACTGTGTCCTAACGAGCTGAGGGAAATCCAAACATCTGCCGCCTGAAAGTTTCCCCAAATCGAGTGATTTTTGTGAGTGGCGACAACATCAATTTGACGCCAATAGCTCGTGAAAGTGAGGGATGGGTCCCTTTTGGAGGTAGACAACCGGCGATGTCGTAATTGGAAACTGATCTGTAAGTTTGATACAACAACGATTCAACTGCATGTGCACTGCAGAGACAAACAAAGCTGTCAACTTTGGCATTTCAAAGACAACACGTTGATACAAACTGATCGCACAACCGAAGCGTTGATAAGTTAACTTGGGCATAAGTTGATGCGTTTGCCGACGGGCACCGCAAGAATAACTCCTACCCTCGTAAAACGTATCGGAAGGGTGTAGCAACAGTGGTGCAGACAAACCATACGCATCACTGACAAATTATCGGCACATATAGTTTAGTTCACCGCAATTTGTCAGACGCGAAGTCAATGTTATTTTCTCAGTTGAGGTTGCCGTTGCACCGTCAATAAAACATCCACAGAAGTCGATATCGCTCCGCTCCAATGTCCAGGTTATGCCTGCAGATAAAAAAAAAAACCCGAAATGGATATCAAATGAAGTTACTCAAGGCAAAACAATTAAACAAGAATTAGGATCAATACAAATTGGACAATTAGATGCCACAGTTAATACCTACTGGCCCACGGGAACTTAACAACGAATCAAAACGCGCGTATTCACCTGAAACTGATGATCTCGTACTCCTTGCGATCAACCGAGCGGCGAAGTTCAATTAGCGTGCGCTTTGATAGCTTTCATCCTTAACCGTGCTCCGTGAAGCGAACAAGATTCGTTTCTGAAATGGCTTCGTTCGGAACGGCTTAGGCCGCATAATCGGCACGCAGAGTTTTCGGTTTGAAATGACTAAGGAATAATTTGGGGAACGGTATACGACAAAAATACAAGAACAACTCCACAGAATGCGAGGGAAGCAACAACTCGAAATACACGCGCCGTATTACCGTACGTGTTAACTTTCAAACCCCGATTATCAAGGTGATTTCTGCATTAAATCCAGGAAACTCTCATGCACTCTCTGAATTATATAATAGGCCTATACTGGCAGGAACGGTAAAATGCTTAATCCTATCACGCCTCTATAAACGAATCCGGGCACTTGGTCACTGTACACACACGTGGCCCCCTTCAATGGAGAAACCATTGGACACGCTATTGTACAAAGAAACTGTCCCGTGACGGATAATCCGACGGATAAACAATGTTTCTGCCATGGAAGGGGGCCTTCGTGATAGAATTGAAAGCGTGCCCGGATTGGTCTTGAAGATAATTCCGAAACAACCTGTTACCGCTGTATTAATTTATATAGCACCCTAAAAAAAAAAAAAAAAAAAAAATGCGAACAGCAAAGTATGAATCAATAATTGAGAACCACACTGTATGGGGCAATTTTGGCTGTATTAAGTATTCTAAGTATGTGGTTCTTGATAAAAGACAAAATGTAGTAAATGGTTTATGTTTTGCTCGCATGAGTTGTTTTAGGGCGCTGAAGCACAGTTCACAAAGGCGGGGGGTGTTTCAACGGCTGTTTAAACAAACACAAAGAGAGCTAGAGTTGTTTAGCACAAACGCCAGCGTTTTACAAGTTGCCAGCATTCGCAACGCTGTAATACACATCGCTGCAAACACAACGAGCCCCTTAAGAAATAATAGAGTGTAATTCATCATTTCATGACAGTTTAATGGTCGGTTTCGCCCTTCATCGACTTAATTTCATAAATGTATACTCAGTGATGTCGGCCGACGGCCTGAGAGGGAGAAAAAATTGAAGCTTATACTTGAGCAGGAGTGGAACCCGCGACCTCATGCTGGTCAGTGCAGAGATCGAAATTACGTCAATGAAGGACAAAACACAACACCGAATTTGCATCTTTTCATACAAATACAATGTAGTGGTTTTCGTGAGCGTGAGCCTTTGGCTTCAAAAATACACAACCGTATCTGACAGCCTATACGAAGAAGAACCCGAATGCGTTTTACTTGTACATGTATGAATCAATCGTAAATCATCAACACACTTAACCCTTTTAGGACCGGGCTTTTTTGGACCTATGGGGACCAGGGGGGGGGGGGGGGTCACACTGCCCCCCCCCTATATTTTCAAAAGTAAATGACCGAATTAAAAACTTGGTAGAAATTAACCTTTGACCAAATCCTACAGGTTGCCATTTTTTTTCAAAAAATCGTCCATAGAGGGCGTTTTTTTGGAAATTTTTGCCCATTTTTGGTCAAAAATAGTTTTTCCCCGTATTTTTCGTTTTCTTTGGCCAAATGTCATAAAATTTGGGAAGCATGTTTGTCACGTGACACTTCTCAATCACCTATGATAAATATGATAAATAAATTAATTACAATATGACACGTGGAATTACGTGGAAAACTGGGAACCAATGTAAAACAAACGGTTGCTATGGCAACAACGAACCATACCTTGATTTTTTTTGATTTTTTATTATGACCCTAGATAATATTTAGGAAAAGTCACCAAATTGGTGGCGATCTGCTGCACCGTTAAAAAGTTATGAGCAAAAATATGGGAGGGGGCACATTGTGCCCCCCCCCCGGTCCTGATAGGGTTAAGGCTCAGGTTTTTCCCCAAAGATTTCTGTTATGAGGATTGATTGTTGACGATTTAATGAACCGACAGTATATCGAAGCCTGTGTATATTACGCAGCAGCCGGTCACAAGGTTTTTCCAGTGGCTCTATCTTGGGCAGCCTCACGGATCTACGAAGGCTTATGTCTAAGAGCTAAATCTTTATAGAGAGTAGTGTGGCAATACACTGTGGGTACATCAAGGAAGGTCTTCCTTCTATACGGTTACCGTGGACGCATTAAATGTTTTTCTTCTTCAGTTTTTGATATTACGTCAAGTGCATCATTCATCGTTTAAAAAATTGTTCGCTCAAATGTATTTAAAAAAAAATCGTTGGTGTTTGAATAGTTAAGCGCGTTTTGTTTTCCTTGACCGTTTGTTTTCGTGTTTATTCTTAATGTCTGTGTGTAGTGTCCTGTATTGTCTGTTTTAACTTGTTCTCTATACAATCCTCGGTTAATACGAACAGCCCCATACTTTTTACCCTCCTTTGATATATTTAGTCGTTTGTAATTTCAGATATGTACTATTATTATTTATACAATTTAATATAATTACCTCCTTTTATTTGAAAACTTATTTTTACTTACTTGTGGAAAGTACGGATTGTTGTCTTTGAATTGAAGCGTTATTCGTCTAAAATAAATTGAAGTAGGTTGGATTAACGAATTCCGCCTGATATAAACGGTAATAGTTGCAATAAATCAAGTAATTAAATTCCGTTTTCGATAACTCCTCAGCGATTTTATTTCGCGGACAATCACATGACTTGGTTTTGGTATTCCAAGTCAAACTATCCATTTGCCGGTCTCTGTATTTTGAGCCCACCGATTTCTGTACAAAAATTGGATTGTTTTGCTGATGCGAGCGTAACATTTTTGATCAATTTTTAAGCGAGAAAATTATATCGCGGTCGATCAAGCGGGAGAGGGGTCCTTCAGACGATATCGCCGGCTATCGTTCAGGCAGTCAAACGGCGGTTGGAGGTACGCCAATTACGCGCACCTATTCCGCTAGAACCTTGGACTTTGCAATAACGTTGGGACAATGCCAGCATACCCCAACTCTGGTAATTGGTCTTACTATAGGGCTGAAGGGGAAGAAAAACCCAATATCGGTGAAGGGCAAAACCATATATTAAAATTGCAGTAATTGAGTTCAAGATGCGAAGTGATGTAAAGATGCCTTTATGGTACGCTGACAGTGGGTTTGAAGCTAATGCAGTTCGCATGCCATTTTATAGCCTATATGAGAATCGCACTGGGAACAAAAACACAATGGTTGAATTGGATGCACGATTCTTTCTCATAAATGAACAAAGAACTTATCCTATAGTATAGGAAGGCATCCGATAATTTCTTCATCCCTTTGTCGCATGTGCATACCAAGGTTATCAGTGATGAAAATGTAATTAAGTCGTTTCGCCCAATTATAAAGTAATTAACATCGCAAGAATTAATTGGCCTCGTCACCAGGACTATTTCGCCTCGTAACTACATTTACGGGTAGTATGGGAATCGGGTAACCAATTGAAAAAAAAAGAACACGGGTATCTGGGTAGCCGTTAAAAAACCAACCCCAACATTTAAATATACCAGAAGTTGCAGTACAGCTTGTCCATAACTTATTAGGTCAGAACGATAATAATACAGTGAAAAGCCGCTATAAGGAACACAGTGGGGTCCACAGAAATGTTCGTTATAGTGGTTGTTCGTTATAGAGATTGTGCATTATATTATAATTTATTAATTCGGGAGACCATGGGGATGTTCGTTATAGCCAAACGTTCGTTATACTACATCGGTGCGGTGATACAGCAAGAGATACAAGTGTGTACAAATGATGTCAATAGGGACATGTAACTTTAAGTTACGTTTTCGCAAACGTCATAGGCCTAAACATGATTTTTTTTTTCATTTTGCCTGGTTTTCATTTTGAAAATTCTCCACAAATGACATTCGAAAGCTTTCTTTTTTCATTGTCTGAGAAGTTACTTAGTTTAATACGTAAAGTTGGTTATACGGGTATTCTCAGTTTCATTGTCTAGAACAGAAGATCCTGAGATAAACGGTTGGGTACTCGGATACCCGGTTCAGATGCACGCCCCTAGGAACCAATGTTACATACATGTCAGTTACCATGAGTTACCGATGGTGTTTTCATGTACAAGGTCTTTAGCGGGATGTCCTTATTGGGAAATTCGTACAGAGTGGCCTTAAAATTTAAGAGACTTAAAAGTGTAAAATCGAGGTATATTGCCAGGGAAAAGATATGGATTGGCTATGGAAGTTGCTTTAACTTCAAGTAGATTATTTTCGCAGGACCCCGAAGGGCTGACCAATTGAGTAACTGAGTAACTGACTGACTATTTATACAGGCCAAGTATAAATAAGGCTACGGCTACGTCTGTTGACAGCATGTTCACATTCGTGTTGTAATTGGACGAAGACCTAGCCACCTAATACGACTTTCTGCTCAACTCCACTACGCAAAGCTAGCCTTGACAAACGCCAGAATCGCAATCGGGTATTTTTTCCCAACCTAGTGCCTATTACAACATGCAATTTACACATTACTGCTAAAAGGGTTGACTGAAGTGGATCCGTTCATACAAGGAGTTATGATAACAGCTCGGTTGTAATTTATTAATGATAGTTCTCAAATTACAGGCAATTTAATGGATCTCAAGGTTGGTTGAACAAGGTCCGAATGTCTCATGTATAAAAAATACAGTTCTTGCTTGTGGTGGTGGTGGTGGTGGGGGGGGGGTGGCTACAGGGTGCGAGTCGTAGTCGAATTAAGCTCTTCATGGGAAATTCAAAATGACTGATGTGTGAACAGTTGAGCTTAATTAACGTTGCTTGCAAGAAATCTTATGAAATGAGGGAAAAAAAAACAATGTCA